GGTACGTACGTTACTACGTTAGGTTAGTTAGACGTACCGTACGTACGTAGTAGTACTACTAACTAACTAACTACTACCGTACTATACTATATATATATATATATATATATATATATATATATATATAGATAGATAGGAAATGATTTCATGCAACGGTTGTATAGTAGTATAATGCAACCATCTTCAAAAACCATGTTAGAGACATTGTTTGACACAAATTTTTAAATGTACACTCTTTTCATTCTAAAGGACAATCACAAAAAAGAAATTTTTGAAAAAATTCCGTAGAAAGTGTTTTTCTAGCCCAATTAATATAAGCCATCCATTTTAGTGAGATGGTTAGATATAGGCCTTAGAATGATTTTTTTATTCCCAAAATTTTTATAGAGCATTATCATCATTAGATTAACAATGCTAAAAAAGTAATTTTGAATTTGATAAGGCCTAGATCTTGAAGTTCTCCAAATGGATGGTCGAAATTCATTGTTGGAGGTTACTAATTTTGACCATATCTAGGGTGCAAATTGAATTTTTTTTTTCGTAGGATTGATTATGAGGATGAAGAGAATGTGTGTGCAAAATTTGGGGTCATACAAATGGCAAAAACATATATATATATATATATATATCACTTTGTCTTTTAGGTTATATCCTATTTTATATTTTAGGTTATATATATGTATATTACTTATCTCACTTTCTTTACTGGCATGCGTACTCCAAATGAACGCCATACTTTATTCTTGAGTTTCATGTTTTCTTGTTTTATATGTTGTTTTCTCCAGTTCAAATGGCAGTTGTTGAAGAAAGCTTCACAAGTTATCTACTTACATTTTGCTCTGAAAAAGCGTGCATTTATCGAGGAATTTCATGAGAAGCAAGAGCAGGTGATTGGGTGATTCATCTTTTACTATTTTGATTATTTGTTGAGTATTGTTAATATTTAATTTATTTCAGAGAATTTCCTATGGTCCGTAACTTTATCTGAATGTTGTGTTTCTGTGCAAAGTTAGAATCTGTCCCCTTGTGGCCTATCATGAAGTTCGACAAGCGATATATATCATTTGTACTTCTGAACTAGTTTTTTTTTTTTTTTGATCGTTAACAGTTAGTAATATGTTAGCAATTTTTGAAACCGTTAGTAGTTTTTTGAAAGGGGTTGTTAGCATTGGTGAGAATGGAAATCCAGATTGGTAGCTGAGTCATAGGTGGTGCTACCACCTTGACCTCAACCCCATTCCTACTTGTACTTCTAAACAGTTGTCTCAGTTCTTGTGTTTTTCAAGAGCTAACTCAATATCAATATGAGCCTTGTATCTTCATGGCACATAAATTGAAAGCTTTTCCTTGGCTCTATATTGAAGGTCAAAGAATGGCTTCAAAATCTTGGGATGGGAGATCACACAGCTGTTGCTCAAGATGAAGATGAAGCTGATGAGGATGTTGTACCTGCACATCATGAAGAAATGTATTTATCTAAGAACAGGTGGTTTTCTAAGCCGCTTTATCTTTCTGTAATTTGCAAATTTGCAGTAGATCTAGTCTTCATGCTGTCCCTGCACATCATGAAGCCTTTGTTGGGAAAAGGCTTTGACGATGACGACGACTTAGAACGGGACAGGATTGCATGACATGATTTGTCTTGATGGCAGACTGTTAGCTGCATAGTGGTGATGTAGCAATCTTCCTTTATAATGTTACTTTTTTTTTCTTGGTTTCTGATTTCTTCCTCCAGCCACTCATCTGGCTTGAATCATGAAGATTTGCATTGCCCTCTCAATAATCATATGTTCTTGTAGGAGATGCTAAGAGTTTGAAAACACCATTCAGAAATAAAACCTGCTTCCCAGGTTTCTTTTTTGCGTTTGTATTAGAAAAGGTCATGCCAAAAACACGTATTTGGAGGCTTTCTGGTGGTAATAATAACTCCCCCCAAATATCTAGTAAATGCCATTTCTAGGCCTTTCGACTTAAATAAAAGACTCCCTCTTATACACTTACTGAGCATAATCTAGACTCTAGACTTGAGAAGGGGATCTTTCTTTTTTTTCTTCATGATCAGTGAAAAGCACAGCTTAAAGGACCTTCACGTTATGGTTTTGATGCTAAACAGTTATGATATAGAACGACTAATATCAGATTATCCATTTCTTATTGTTGAAATTACAACTGTAACTATTCATCCTTAGCCAAAGTTCTCGATTCTAGTTGTGCGAAATCAAGTGGTTTAAGAGCCAGTATTCTACCTTGTTATTAAAAAATACAAAGGTGCTTATGTTTAGTAGAAAATTCTTATAGCATGTTGCTCTAAAGTAGCACATGCTGTTCAAATTATTGTGGTGGCTCTTTATAGGAATAATTGCTTTTCTATGAAGTAAACTTGCACATGGAAACTTTCATCATCATGGTGGTTGTTCATAGGAATATCCATTATTTATGAGCTATATCTATCATTGTTTAAATGTGGCCCCATCCCTGCATGTGCGGCCACATAATGCATTATGCGCCCCAAAGCGCATCGCATAGGGGCGCATATGCACTTTGGTGGGATGCGCCCCGCATCCCACCGCATATGTGGCCACATAGTGCATATCCGCCGCATAGCTCGTCGGCGAAAATAGTACCCACGAGCATGGGTACTTTTGTCACCCCCCCTTCCAAAACCCAAAAAAAGGCCACAAATGTGGCTGTTTTTGGATCAAATGACGAGGGAAAAGAAAAATTGGCAGAATTATTTTTTGAAAAAAATTGTCGATTTGCTCTAGGTGTTGGTTGGGTTGTCGATTTGGGATTAGCTTGAGCGTTTTTTTGAAGACGTTTGATTAGATGATGTCTTCTAAGGTCTAATGTCTTCTACAAAGTTAGTTTCAAGTTTCTAGTTTCTACTTTCGATTTCTAATTTCTTATATCAGGGGATTTAGAGTCTCCGACAACTGATAATATTGGAGCAACGTCTAAAAAAACGGACCGGTGACTCGAATCGCTCTCACCCATACCCGTGTCGAATCGGAGAATAAGTAGATCGGATCAGAGAATTAGCAGAATCGGTAGATCGGATCGGAGAATCGGCAGAATCAACAATTTTTATACCAAATATTTTTCAAAAAATCACTATAAATCTCTAAAAATATTGTTCTTTTAGTTTCTAAAAGAAATTAGGAGTGGTGCATTATGTATTTTCGTTACTTTGTAAAAATACGTGAATATTGAGATGTTGTTTTCCTGTCTAGATATTTGTATAATTATTAATTATAATATAGTATAAGAATATTACATCAAAATAATTTAAAAATATTAAAAAACACTTCCATATAATTTAAAAATAATTTTAATGTATATAAAAATAATTCTATTGACATAAGTTTAGCATACTTATATTAAGTTACTAACATAAGTAAACAACAATTCCAGATAATTATGTTAATTTTTGTAAATTATTATATGAAATTTTATTTTTGTAATTATATGTAATTAAAGCTTAATTATATGTACTTTATATTTGTATATTATAAAAAATAAATAAATATAATTCTTCTTAAAAAAAATTATAGACCATTTTATTTTATAGATGTCCTTGTATAAGAGAGAGAGAGATCTATTTATAGAGCATTTAATTTAAGCATCATTGTATATATGAGAGAGAGAGCGCTATTTATAAACTATTTAATTTACTTTAATCATGACTGTAGAATCACACTTGGGTTGAAAGTTTGCATGCATATAAAAATTTGCTATACATAACAAAGTTTGCACGCCATTATTAATAAAGTTTTCATTCATATAAAAGAGAGGAAAAAACCATCATTTTTGTCACGTATATATGAAAAGTTTATTCTCTTTATAGTAAGTTAATATTGCATGCAAAATTTGATGCATATAAAAGTCTATAGGCCACGCATATAAAAGTTTGCATGCATTAAAGGCAGTGGGAATTGTCCCACATCGATAATGTCAAGGCGAATTCACTTCTATAAAAGGCTTTAGGCCACCAACTTTTGTCGCACATAGGTTAATTGGACTCCTGGGTGGGGGACAGTTTGACTCGTCGTATTTATTGAGAGGTGGGCAGTTGCCCGTTGTTTTGAATTTTTTTTCAAAAATACCCTTGTAGAAAAATATTCAAAAATAAATAAATTAGAGTTTATTGTAACGAATCGGTGACATATCCAGCTTTTCATGAGACTCGTCGGCTCATGATGTCATACTGCCGCATAGTGACATCATCTTACCTATTTTGTACAGGAAAGATGGGGAATCCCGTTTATAGCTGAATCCAGAACGGTCTAGCCAATACTCGATTTGGATCGCCCGATTCCAGATCGGGTCACCGATGTTTTAAACACTGTATTGGAGTTAATGAATAAATTAGATACCTACTGTCACATATACCACCTCCATAATTTTTCTACACATTAACCTAGTTTTTGATATTTATTAGAATTTTTTAATTTTATTGACCGCATCGAGGTGATGCACCCGCATTTGGACCGCATCGCCGCATTTTAAAACATTGATATCTATTACATGCTATGAGTTCATCAGCATTTTGTCTTCAATTATTACCATTAGTAGTTTTTGAATAAGCAGGATGCCAGAGTCCTGACAGTAGAAAGCCAAAACCATGATATTCACCATTCTAGGCATAAAATAGTGTCATGTTACATCTCCATCTGAAATACCATGGTGTGCCTTCTTCTGGCAACAAAATCCTATGGTTACAACTTACAAGTACTGTGTTGCAACTTGCAAATATTGAGTTAAGATTTTGCACATCACTGTGTGGAGACAATAGACTGCCTTTCAGATTGATATGAACCTTGTGTTTAATGATCAAGGAAAGAACGTCATTGTGAACTGCAATTTTATTTGTCATCATTTCACCGCATGTGCTACCTTTCCTTCACTCAATGACCAAGCATCAGTTGGTGCATCTTCTTACCAAGGCAATGAGCATGGGTACATGCAGCTATATTTTGGACAAACATGGCAGGACCTAGTCGGTTTGAGGGGAAGTTTTCATTGGTTATTCAAACAGTAGGTTGGTAGAGATTGGCATAAATGAGGGGAGGATTTCTTTTAAATGTAGTTGACAGGGGCATAAATACATATTGAAGGCATATTTTTGCTGTATATGCATAATGACTCAATCCAAGTAGAAACTGAAGAACTTGTTCATAAGTTGGTCATGGTACCACAATCTAGAATATTCGGAGAACCAATAGCTCATTTGTATTGCACTCAAGTTTTGGATGCATGCTTGATGCTTCTGCTATGCACTTAGAAGTTCGTCTGCAGCTTGACAATGGATTTAACATGTGGCTTGAACTTAGCTTCATTTTTTTGTCATTTTTGTTTGAAAATACTTAGATAAAATAGGTGAAAGTCATATAGGGAATAAAAACATCTCTAAGGAATCTCAATGAAAATTATTGTGATTTAGATTGTGTGCTGCCTGCCATTTATTAAAAGCATACGAATATTAAACTATTGTGGTTTAGCTTGTGTGCTGCCTGCCACTTATCAGAAGAATACAAATATTCTTCTCATGGCATGAGTTTCTATGTATGGTCTCTGTCTTACATTGGTCATGGCTTCTTGTTTGTGTGGTCTAACCATAAGGTTTCTCTCTCCAGACAAATACACATGGATCTGCTGATTTCTGGATTGATTTTATTATGCAAATATGCAAGCAAAATATGCACTTCTGATTTGCTTTGATGGTTTGTTGTTTTCTTTGATTTATTTGAAGTGACGAAGTTTTATTTTTTGCACAGAGATGTTCCATCTAGTGCAGCTTTGCCTATCATTAAACCAGCATTGGGTCGGCAACAATCTATTTCAGACCGAGCTAAGGTGGCAATGCAAAATTACTTAAATCATTTTCTCGGAAACATGGATATAGCCAACTCCAGGGAGGTACTATGTTTTCTTTTAACTAGGAAATAAAGTTTAGCATGCAACTTGCTTAGCCTGAAACTTGCCAGGCTTCTTGTATTGATGATTGCAGGTAATTATGGATATCAGTTGCCCAACAAATTGAAAATCTGAAATTTCTCTTCCTATCCACTGTGCATTTAGTTTGTATCCATATAACTCACTTGTGACTGTAAAGATTGCAAAGTGTGCTAGATATTATTTGCACATTGGTATTTATGATTAGATTACATGAATCTAGAGAATTGGAGGGTCATTCTATTATGAAACCATTGGGTCTTTGGTAAAGTATAGTGTAGATTATTGCATTCCTTTCAACTCGAAGAATCCGTCTCACCTATCCTATATTTTGCCAAGTCCAGTATGACACGTGCACACAAGTCCGTACAATGCATGTCTCTACCATGCATACACACACATGTACATAGTTACATCATCATCATCAACATCTGAACCTTATCCCAACTATTTGGGATTGGCTACACAAATTCTGTTCCACCATTTCGTTCTATTTGGGATCGGCCATACCTCAGTCAGGCCATGATTTACCATATCTCTTCTCACTACTTTCATTCACGTCCTTTTGGGTATTCCTCTAACTCTTTTAGAGCCTTCCAATTGAATTAAATCGCCCCTCCTAACTGGTGTTGTTCTAGGTCGAAACCATAGTTCAGGATTCACGAAATAGATGTGGCAAAAGTTTTATGCTGGTTGCTCACCTAAACCTACCTTTCTCTAGGCTTGGGAATGTCATATCTGGCCTGGGACTGGCCATGGTGGATTACATTCATATATGCATGCTTGCATGCATAGATACATCCATACGTATATACATACATATATGCACATATATATAGATATACATATGTATGTATATATGTATGTATGTATGTATATGACTTTTTGATAATAATTTAACCTAAAAAATACATATGGGGGTATTGTGTGTATATATATATGTATGTATATATGACTTTTTTATAATAAAATTAACTTAAAAAATACATATGGGCGTATTGTATGAAACCATTGATTTATGGATATAATAATAAAATTAACTTAAAAAAAACAAGTGGTTTCAAATCAATGACGCACGTGTTGAAATCATAGATGTGTGCCCAATAAGGTGGACACGGGTCTATTACAAAGGGGACATGCATCTTACAACGCAGATATGTGCATGCATGTCATCCTATTGTAGTGTGGAATTGGTCTTAGCAGGTATTTATGGATTAATATTCAGATAGAATTGTCACTGATATCATAAAGTTCATCTGCTCAGTATAAATATCTATTGTTGGCCATTTCATTCTTCTCCCATGTGAAACGTATGAGGCAATCTAGCAATGGCAACCACCATATGCTTCACTTTTTCATGAAATATCTGAAATTGCGGGTGGTGATGCATGGTTACAAGGCAAAGGAAGAATATGATTCATAATCATTTCACTGAGAAATCTATCAAAACCTAAGATGTACTGATTCTTGTTTTGCTTAACATGCTGGTTTTGTATTGTGTCCTAGTCACTTTTATACTTCTTGGGCACTTCTAAATATAATATGACAATATAATGTTATGCATTAGGAATTGGTGTAGATATCTTTCAATTTGTTGGATGCTTCTATTCATGTGTTATAGAAGCTAATACACACGCACACATGTATTGATGGTTGCACTCTACACTATATATTTACTGTTGTCTCAGATAGGATACTTGTTTCCATACTCCATATCTGGGATGTCAGGAAATGCTGAGTCATATCCTCCCTAGGTCTACTTTTGGATTATCTTATAATATGCTCATATAGTTCATTTACTAAATCCATGTCAAGTCGTCCATCCTTTGTTACCTTTACATGGGCCCTACTTAGTACATTGCAGTTGCATTTATGGTTCCATGGTCATTGATGCCCAAAAACTCTGAGCAGGATTTGGATTTACTCTTTGAATGATCCCTATTGGTCTGCATTAGCTCCAAAGTTGACCGTAAAATTATGAAACAATCTGCAGATCTCTTATTCACCATATTTGGCCTGTATGGGATGATGTTTTTCTTTCTTGAAACTTCTGAAAGAGGCGTCTAATAGTCATTGTCACATGCTTCCTTGGAAAAGAACCTGTATACAGTTGTGGGGAAAGTACCACATGCACAAGTCTCTACGCGCTTGGATTGCCCTGAATTTTGGAAATAGAGTCGTTTGGATTGGCAATTTGGATTTTATCACATGCTAAATCTAGATTCTGAGAAACATTTGGTAGCCTATTTTTATCCCATGTTCTTTTTAGTTGAATGCAATATGACTGTCCGTTGAATTGATAGAACCATGTGTTGGTGTTGCAATCCTTCTTTATGTGGGGAAACTTTGTTGGTTGATGTGGTCTGGTTATATTCTTTTGAAGTAAGTAGCTCATATGTGAGATTACGTGATTCAAATCACAGATCCTAGCAGACAATTATGACATTGGTTTATTCCAAGTTCAAATATTTTTGAAGTATGTATACTTGCATGATACACAAAAATTTTCCAAAAGTCTTAAGACTTTTCTTTTCTATATTTCTTATTATTATATTTTGCTCGTTCTAGACATTTTGTGTCAGTGAGACTTCCACTTAATCTGTTGATGACATTTAAAAGTATGATTGGCTATTCTTATTGCTTTCATAATTAAAGGAAAGCATTAACTTTGAGAATGGATGCAGGAGTATTGTGGACTGATCCTTTGCTTATACTTAAAATTCTGAAGAAATAATTGTCGTACATCTGATATAATTTATTGGGTCAAATCAGGGGCTGAGGTTTAGTTTCTCATGTTGTCAGTTAACTTAATAAAACAAGATCTCCCTTGCAGTTCCAATAGTGTTTTTCAAGTATTTAATTTGTTTCATATTCGTCATTAGACCTGTATCTTAATGGATTCTATCTTATGATCCTACACAAGAATGTGTACAGCACCTTCCTGTATATTCCTTTGCCCGGATATTCATCTCTATTCTATTCCGTTCTTCATGGGAACTGTGTTATTCTACTAGTTTTATGCTCTGTAACATTTTTGGATCTTTTAAAGAATCATTTATTGGCTCCTTCACGGATTTTTTTTAGATAATGTGGATTTATTCATTGAAGCTTTGTGCATTGTAGGTATGCAAGTTTTTGGAAGTGTCGAAACTGTCTTTTTCACCTGAGTATGGCCCTAAACTTAAGGAAGATTATGTAATGGTAAGACACTTGCCAAAGATTCAGAAGGATGATGACAGTAGGTGCTGTGCATGTCACTGGTTCGATTGTTGCAATGATAGTTGGCAAAAGGTATTGTCCACTTCTCTATATGCACTTGGGTTTTCTTTGCGCTCTTTACTTTACATGGTTTTGGCCTTTTCTAGGCATGAAGCATGCACTAAAGCATTGTTAGTAGGACAAATGTCGCAACTTACTGAAATAATAAGTACAAATGTAACACTAGGTTTACTGGAGAAATTCCACTCCCTTATACTCTGAGGCCTGGACCGTTTGAGGCACCCCCATGGGTTGCTTCGCTGTGCAAGGACCCGCTTGGTCTCCCATGCTACTTCACCCTCCCTAAGATACTCCTCAAATTGCCTTTCTATATGAGATGTACCTTTGACAATTTGTAGGCAACCTGAGAGCTGGCGAGCCTATGTCAATTGAAGGAAGCTGGCGATATTTATAAGTAGATTATTCAGGGGGGATTAGGCATAACGGCCGAGTAGGGTGGGCTTCAGTTTGCTTCGTTCTGCCCATTGGTAGGTTATCTTCATCATGGATGTGATGTAGGACCCCAAGGGGTTGGTTCCTACACAAGAAGAACTTTATGTGGCGGGGCTAGGGTTGATAGTTCTAATGTGAGGTTGTTGGGGATTTATGGTTTAGTTAGAACGAAATTTGGTTTAGAATGTTAGGGTTGGTGTGGATGGTTATTGGATTAATCTTGGGCATGGTTTCGATGATAGGAAGTCAGGGTTTAAGGGATAGCTTGTAATTGGAGAGGCCACGGATAAAGTTTGGGTTTGTTTAAATTTTTGTAGTGAAAAAGCATGGATATTGTGCCAGGGTTAATGGATTGGAGGTGGCGAAGGAAGAGATGATTAGAACCTGATGGTGGGGCAGCTTGAATGAGGGTTTAGATGAGGACAGGGAGGATTGGATGGGATGTGGCCATTCAGGAGATATTAGGGTTTCGTAAATCTGGAACCACAAACATTAATGGACCTGGACTGGTATACAATCATCATCAGCCTAGGAAGAGAACCTAAAGTTTGTATGGAGATAGCATCTACAATGATTAGAGCTTTTTATGGTATCAGCGCCACAATATGCTTTTGACGAATTGGAAGTTCAATGATAGAACCTACCTCCAAAGCTTAAAGAAGTCAATCATTATTCAAATTCAAAATTTGTTATGTATTTATAGATGTTTTGGATGCTTAATCCTAGCATGTCTTAGATTCAAAGCAATCCTATGCTTTTGAAAGATAGAAAAATAGGCAACCTTGATAATTCGAAAACGAAGCACCCATGACAAAAAGGAAACTACACCCTAATATTCAGAATAAGAAACTAAACAGCAACAAAACTACCCTCTCATAAAAAGGGGCAATTAAGCAAAATATGAGACTTATTAGTGGTACCATGCTCAAGGTAGGGCTTGTTGAGAGAAGGGATTGTGTCTTAGATGGGACCATGTGGCCCGCTCATTCTTTTGCTGGACCCTCCAATTACGGACTGCTTTAGCATTTTTTAAAAGTCATTCCATCATGATATGGCACCCCTTTCCTGATTTTGTAATGTAGCAAAGTGGAATTACAACTCACTTCTCATTTTCTCTTGAAATAGAATACCTTTCCATAACATTCTTCCATGTTCACTATCTCTTCTTATTTCATTCATTTTCCTTTTCATATTTTGCCGTTTTTGAAGGAACAGTCTCTCCAGTTGCTTTTCTGCTCTCATTTATTAGGAAAATATCTCTTTAAGACCATCAAAGATGTTTAGCACCCAACCCCCTTTGTTGATTTCCCATGTTCGACCTGGCCTTGACAGTACTGGTCTTGAGCTTGTTTGAAGTCGAGAACTGGGCATCATTGCTTGTCAGAAGCTCCCTATTTAGTGAGTGTCGTGGGAGCACCTATTAAATAAGTATTTAGAATAAAAGGGAAATATCATTTAAGGGGTTGAAACCCCATACAAAATCATTAGAAGGGCCAAATGATCTCAATTAGCATTTGAGGGGTTACTTTTGCTTTTTCTTTTCATGTGGGTACTTCCACAAATAATAAAATTAAAAAAAACGTAGCATTTGAGGGGTTACTTTTTCTTTTTCTTTTCATGTGGGTACTTCCACAAATAATAAAATTAAAAAAAACGTCGTAAAGTGCCGTTGTTTAGGATAGGGAAGGAGGAACAACCAAAGGCATTTCACACCACCTCTGCACCCCCCGCCCCCCCCGCCCACTAAAGAGGCCCCAACCAAGTGACAAAGATATCTTTGGTTGTTTAGGGTTGCAAATAAGGAAAACACTGTTCAGGATTGGTAATGAGGAACACCTTGGGATACTTTTGTCATTTGATACCCCTAGTTGTTCGTCATTACCAATCGTGAACAATGTGTTCCTTGTTTGTAACCATGAACAAGCAGGTGTATCTTCCTCATTCGGTTGGGGTCTTTTGAGGTGAAATTACTTAAATGCCCTAATTGTTCCTCCTTTTCAATCCTAAACAAGGGCAAGTTGGGATTTTTTTATTTATTTGAAGTTACCTAATGAAGTGAAAAAGAAGAAGTAATCCTTCAAATGTTAATTGGCATCATTTGACCCCTTTAAACCCCTTAAATGATATTTCCCTAAAATAAATTGATATGCAAATGGAAGATAAGCGCAAAAAACATTTGAAGGATATGGATACTTGAAGTTCTCTTTCAAATTCGGTCTAGATTGAGAATATTTCCCCTTCTGTAAAATCCGAAATTTAACTTGTGATGCATTTCATAGGTCCCACAATTGAGCTTACCTAAGGAGGTGGGCTCTACCTTAACTGCTTTAATAGAAAGAGTTCCTAAGTAAATAGGGAATGCGCTTGCAAACGATTGTAGATGTGTTGGGATGGAGTTCTCTCTCTCACAAACTGCAGAACTGTGTTCTAGGAGTGGGAATGCCACCTTAGATGGAAGATCCGAGTAGTTGATCATACCCTTCTAAATGGGACTCCACTGTCTTCTAGAACCTCTATTAGCCTAACATCTTACACTTCTATCCTCTACATATTCAGGCTACTTCCTTTTTGCTTCATACTCAATGATCTTTATTGGGCTTCCTCTTTCAGTTCTTGATTCATTGACATCTCATTTCCTATATATCTCATCCTATAACTGTCATCCTAGGTCGATACTTCTAGCTCTTCCTAGATCTCATGGTAATCTTAACTTCCAACCTCTTTGATAATATCCACGCCCCTTTAGCATACCTAGGGAGTTCCCATCAACTTTGACATGTGCCCTTCGCAACACATTAATCAAAGATCGAAGTTGCATTTTTTTAATTGTGTGGTGGGAACATCACAATACCGCTATAACATATTAATCCCATTTAGAAAAACATAAATTTACTACTTGGAACTTTGCCACCAATTGTCCCTGTAATTGGTTTTAGCACTCATCAAGTGTACAAACTACGTATCCTTATAGAAGAAATGGATTTTTTTTTCTTTTCAAGGTCTGATTGTCTGTGATTGTTGTAACATTGCTCCTTTTGGTTTTACCTTCTCATGATGACCTTGAATGCACAAAAGGCTTGGTACTCCTGTCACAATCCCTGCATCCTAGTTATGCATCCTCCCATATTGCTCAACTCAATTGCTAAGGTTATATCCATATACCCACAATAACATTTACCTTCACTAACTCCATCCCCTTGGACACCTGAATATTGGACAAGTTGGATCAATTATTAGGATCTAATAAGTGGATCAAGTATTAGAAATTTAATCTTTTGACATAAATTTTAAAAAGAATCACTTGTTGCTTGGCATGAACAGTTGGAGTTATAGTGTTATTCCGAGGCACAAAATTGTCCCTTCCATAATAGAATGGTTGGGAATTTCTCAATACTTTGTACATGCTGAGAAAACTGGCTTGGGCATAACACGTCAATCACTTAGTTGACTGTATTACTTACCTATCTATTATCATGATCCTTTGTCTAGCCTTTCTGTTTGATTCTGATTTGATTGTTTGCATCTTGTTGATTTGCATGGTAAATTAAAGCAGCTAGCGACTAGACTTGTATATTGAAGAGCACTAAGGTTTTAAAAAACATATTGTCGACCTGAATCGGCTGGATCTGGCCTTAAAAAAATTTCGACAAATCACAAAAAAACCCTAAAAATATCGTTTTTTGATTTTCCAAAAAAATGGGGTAGTGCATTATGTACTTTCCTTGTTTGCAAAAATACATGAAAATTGAGACGTTGTTTCTTGTTTGAGTGTCTCTTGATATTAATTTTGATATAGTACTTTTAGAAAACAATTGATACTCATTTTCTGAGTTTTAGTGAAGAAATGAGGAAGAAAGTGATTTTTGACTAATTTTCTTAGAAATATTACTAATTTTTTATACTAATATTACTCATTAGAAATTTCTTTGTGATTTTTTTATGCTACTTTTAAAAATGATTTTTAGGAAAAACAAAAAACAAAAAACAAAAAAAAACCTACAAGAGCTGATTTTTAGGACTTTGGCATTCTTAAATTTCAATTTTGTAAATTGGCCCTCTCTCATCCGCATAAGCATAATAAAAGGGGCAATGGACCATTTTGCGCCTCTTTGTATTGTAAAGGGAGTCAAACCTGTCTTCCCATTCATGTGTTTTTTTAAAATATAAATCTCTTCATCATTTCTCTCTCTCTGAAACCCACCTTCTCTACATGGAAAAAGATTCTCTCTCTCTGAAACCCATCTTCTCTACATGGAAATGTCTTTTTCTCCCTCTAAAAGCCCTAAGTTCTTTCATCTTCTCGCGTTTCTCGCTCTGTGAACCAACCCAACTTGTTTCTCTTATCTTTTGAATGTTATAGAGTTTCCATTGATGGATTTGATTAAAATTGAGCTCAGCATCGTGGCAAATTATAGGGTTTTGTTTGACTTGATTCCAGTTCTTTTTTGTTGTTGAGCTTGTCTGCAATGGCCAAAGCATTATTAAGCATACTGGAGTTGCAGAGAATTTGCAACAAAGTATTATAAGTGCAAAGATTAGGGTCCCACCCCTTCTCTTTCATCTCTCTAAAGAGTTCTAGAGAAGACCCAAATCACCGAAAGACCCAAAAGCACGGATAACAGATATTGTAACCCCCAAATATCAAATTATAAACCCAGATTTCTGAGCTCTGAGGACTCAAGCTTGAACCAATTTCCTCAATGCCTTGGAGCAATTTGAGAGCGTGATGGAAATTACCCAACAAAGCAAAGGTGTTGAGCATAAGCTTGAAAGAGCGAGTGTCAGGAACCACTTTCTCTCTCTCTCTCTCTCTTTGTGGATTGCATCAGGGTACTTGGAGAATCAATGTCCTTATTCCTGGAAACTATTCAAACCATGAGAGAATAAGCATCGCTAGATGGCTAGTAACTTGTAAAATGTTTGTGAAGAAACCCATCTGAAATGCTCCATTTTCCTTTGTGGCTTGAGGTTTTTCTTGAGGATTTGCAATACAAGGGAGTGAGAAACGACAATGGGGATTTTTGCAACTCAGTGGTGCTGCCATTGATGAGAGCTTTGCAGATAGAAGCGGTGAGGAGGATAGTTAGGATGTGAGAGAAATAGAGGTTCGGATTGGAGAAAAAGAGGGCTTTGGAATGCAAGAGAGAGGGGCATGTAATGAGCGTAGCATGGTAAGAAGGGAGAGGAAGAAGGACATGCCTGCTGTGTATTTGGAGGGAGAGAGGCAGCCCTA